ATCTCTTCATCAGTGGCTGTCAGCCTGACCGTTTCTTCGTATTTTCTTTAAATGCAAAATTAAATAATTCAGTTCACTTGCTGATGCCATGGTTAATATAACAACCTCTACTTGGTGAATACAAACTACTTACAAATGTCAGTAGAACCTCACAACACTAGCACTACTACTACTGACTGCCAATTCTACTCTAATTAATACTACTATTACTACTACTGTTGTCAACGAGAGCTTTCGTAGGAGTATTCCGATAATAACGGTGCACACTGCTTTTCTCAGTTTGTTTTTGGTTTCTCAGACACCTGAACATAGATAAGGAGAAAAAACATGGAGATACGACCTGAAAGAACCCTGTGTTCAGTCCAGAATCAATTATCACAGTCAGTATATCACCATCCCCTGACTGACGAACCACCACCGGCATGCGTGCATGCTCAAACCAAAATTGTCTAAATTATGCGAAATAGTTTATCAATATTGGCACTTAATTCACCGATTTTGTCGATCCGTATAATGCAAGGATACTGGAACCGTCAAAAACATAAAGCTGTGGTTTCATTCGGATCAGCGACAAGCGTGGTGTGACCTGTGAGTGCAGTTAACCGAACTCCGAACAATCGATGCAGAAAGTCGTTGCCTGGGCATTTTTAACAAGAAATTCAGTCAGACCATTAGGTAGCTAGCTGTGTTGAAAGTCTCCAAGAGGAAAGTTTCAATTTGTTTCTCCTTCGAAAAACGAGAACATCCGCCCGGTATTTAAGACCGTGTAAGGCCAACGGCAAAGTTCAATAACGATCCGGCTGTACTATAAACGACAGCACACATTCTGTCTCTTGCGCTCTTTAATCACGGTCCACCATGAATTATACCGATTTGAAGAGGAAGCAGACAAGCAGTACTGTTCCTCCAGTGAGGAGGGTTGTTAGAAGTGAGAAACCAAAGCCAACACAAATAACTGCATGATCAACAGTTTTGTAAACCGAAATGAAACGGAATACCAATTCAAATGTGATTGCGGATAGGTAGTTCTTCCGTCGGATTGCGCGAAGCAACCCATGATGAAAAAGTTCACTGGGTCATATAATCAAATCTGACTGTCCCACTCACTCACTGACGATCAAAGTCGATTCCCAAGGGAACGTTCGAGCAGTGCACACTGCGAACCAATTTCGACGAAATCCAAATCATAGACAATTAAAATGCCACGGTAACTATTCACAACAAGTTAGCAAGTATATGCTAATCAGGTCTCAAAAGTGTACATGCGGAGTTTTCGCACTCCAAGGTAAGACATCAGGTCCAAGTAGCAACTAAGTTGCAACAAACGTTGGCAGGGGAGCGGGACTGCCAAGCAAATGTTTAGTACCATTAATTGTATTGTATTGTATTGTATTGAAGATTCAGCGAGTTATATGCAATCTTTAAGCTAAAAATAAGGCACTGTTACAATTCTGATGGATAAGAGGTGAAAACGTGGGACGTAAAGCGTACAAAAATGAGTTAATTATTAAGTGTATCAGAAAGCTAAGGACAAACACTTCCCTTGTCGGTCAGTATCCGGGCAAGATAGGGTACCAAAGAGTTTCTGTTTTCAGATATGCACTTAGAACCAGTGGAGGGGTGGGATTTGCATGCGCACAGGTCAATGTGTAAAAGATGGGTGCAATCAGATAGGATATTGTCAGCAAACTTCAAGCACGCATCAATATGAGCATTACACATATTGCATATATTACACATATTGGGTGGTGGTGGCGTAGTGGTTTAGTCGCTGTCACCGGCGTGCTTTAGACCCTATGGTCCGAGGTTCGAGCCCCGCCACCGCCACCCGACTTTGGTGGTAGGCAGCTCTGCTGTCGCCCGGTTCAATACCACGCCTAACCTATCGGGGCCTTATGTGGCTCGCCACTCCAAGTTCCGGGGCTTAGGTTGCCGATTTCAACCACTGAACAGCAGGTCCTCGAGACTATGGGGTTTACCCCGTCTGCTGTTCATCACACCTAGGTGTGTAATAAAAAAAAATCAGAACAGATAACGGAACTTTTGAGACACGGATGATCATTGAGAGGGGACGCCTCAGCAACGTGAAATCAGCCTTCAGCAAATTCAAAATACTAGCGGAAGTTGGACACCATAACTAAAGATTTCAATGCATCGTTATGATAAAACAAAGAGATAAAAGTGTGAATTATGAGTAGTTCAATAGCAACCGTGTGTTTGGAAAGCACACGTGGATCTCCCCAACGGTGATGTATGACGCAAACTGTACCAGTCGAGCTCCAAGATCGCACCGGAAGGACTGATCTTTTTACATCCGGATTGCCAGATCAGCTTACAGAGGCATGTGGAATACAACAGGTAACATTCAAACTGACTATCGCTGCGGCTTTTCTTTAGAATTCATCAACGGAACTTCTGACGCTGGAATATTTGTTCGAATTGGCCGATTGATGAGATAAATATATCATAAAATACAGTCAGCTAAGTGTGATTAGTGTCTGCCTAAAGTGCGGTAAGCGAGGTTGTGTTTCTCGCATGTCCTTTTATCCACGTATCGCCCACCACAGTAGTGCGACAACACACTCGACCACATCACGCCATCATCAACTAAACAAGAACAGTGAAAATTCAAAATATCTGCATCAGTTATCACTCGAATCCTGTGGATTAATAATCATGCTACGGACCCTGGGAATCGACCTAGATTGGTATTGACTGACACCAATCCCAGCTTCCCAGATCCATGAAATTCGTTGTTAATAGAAGACAGAAAGCTGTGTGTGTGTGTGTGTGTGTGTGTGTGTGTGTGTGCAAAACGAGTTGCCAGTTACACTCTCACTGCCTTGTTAGTACCAAAATGTGTGAACATTCAACCCTGCCCTATCAGGGGGAAAATATGAACCGATTAACGATATTGATCATATATGGTTTTCCGCTGCAACGGTACCAGTGGAAACGCATCACAATAAATCCGGTAAACCGGGGGTGGGAGGTGGGGGAGGGCGGTTTGTCGTCTTTCATCAGTTGGAAGACCATTCCGTTCGTGACGTCAATAGTCAAGTGTATTTTGCCGCGAACAGTTTAGACAAAAGATATAGGCAAACACTCCATAGTTTATGCCATCATGACTGGGGTGCGTATAGAAAGGTGCAACAAACACTGGACTTCACAGGCAAAATCTAAGCTTACGGGGCAGCTACGCAATCTAATCAAGGTTGCCTATACTTATCAAAAACGAAACTAGTGAAATCAATCATAACTACAGTCGGATCCGATGACAGCCAACGAAATTTGGATATTTATACAAACCAGCTGAGGATTTTCTTCCA